CTGGACCTCTGCTTCACCACCAGCACCGTGCCCCAGCTCCTGATCAACCTTCATGGTCTAGACAAGACCATCAGCTATGGAGGGTGTGTGGCCCAGCTCTTCATTTTCCTTGCTCTGGGCTCCACAGAATGTTTGATTTTGGTGGCGATGGCCTTCGACCGCTATGCTGCTGTGTGTAACCCACTCCACTACACCACCATTATGCACCCCGTCTTCTGCAGGGCACTGACCATCTCCTGCTGGATAGGAGGCCTTGTGAACTCTCTGATTCAGACAGGACTTGTGATGGCCATGCGACTCTGTGGCCATCAAATCAATCACTTCTTCTGCGAAATGCCCGTATTCCTGAAGCTGGCCTGTGAGGACACAGAAGGAACGGAAGCTAAGATGTTTGTGGCGCGAACAATAGCCTTAGCATGCCCTGCAGTTCTGACTTTGGGCTCCTATGTTCACATTGTTCGGGCTGTACTAAAAATCAAGTCAATGTCTGGACGCAGAAAGGCTTTTGGGACTTGTGGGTCCCACCTCGTGGTAGTGTCTCTCTTATATGGCTCAGGTATTTATACATATCTTCAGCCAGTCCGCAGATATTCTGAAAGCAAAGGAAAGTTTGTTGCCCTTTTTTATACTATTGTTACCCCCATGTTCAATCCTTTGATCTATACCCTGAGGAACAAAGATGTGAAGGGGGCCCTGTGGAAGGTGCTAGGGAGAGGCACAGACCCGGGGTAGCGCATGAGGAGGAGACGAGCTAGTAAAATATCTGTGGTAGCTCTCAATCTAGAATACCATTTGAGCTTCTTCTGGTCACAGCCAACAGTCCAGTAGTTCTCAGGATGTCAAGGCCTTCCTTCTGAGTACATTGTAAGAGGCTATATGTCGACATACCTTGCAGGTCGGAATCTAGGGCCTTTATGTTAAGCAGAATTGGATGTTACTTTTAACACAGTTTTCCACAAGAATTTACTTGGAGACTATATTCTGGCCACACTGGAAAGTAGTAAAGAGCCATAGGTATTGAGGCAGTGATGAGAGATGTAATTAAATGTGACATTACTTTTTATGAAGTCTGTGATTCCTAACACAGATGACACTGGGCCTAATTATTTAAATAATTAGGAGAAAATAAGGAGATCACAGTCTGAGACACTTCACTCTGCATATAGAGCTTTAGATCTTACGTAGGTATCCTCCTGGGGAAAGTTTGACAGTCTCATTCCAATACCACAGATAGATTGAAGAAACAAATACAAAAAAAAGGGAACCATATTAAATTTTCAGAGAAAGATCATATGGAGGATTTTGTATGGTTTTATCTTAGAGATCATTTTTGACTTTAGGTAGTTTAACTAATGTATAGAAATTGCAAACGTCACTAAGGAGGGCATAATTTCCTGAGACTACCTCTTAGCTCTTCTGTGGGTTCTTTGCCTGGGTAGAATATCCAAATTCAGACAAACCTGATTTCCAAGAGAAAAAAAAATACAAGTTTTATTATTTTACATATACGTGAAGAACTTCACAGGAGAGCACCTTGTCAAGAAAAACACTGGAACAAGTGGTTTCTATAATTGTCAGGCAAAGAACAAATCATTTGTGAAGGGATAGCAAGCAAATGGGTCTCTAACAAAGTAGTAAATTCTAGAGATTTTGCTAAGACACATTCCTGTGGTATGAAAGCAAGATTAAAATGAGTGTTACTTTAGTTGGTTCATTCACTCAGGTTCATTACAACCCTACATTACTAGTCTTGGTGACAAGTCAAAAGCATCATTACGGTTTCCTGCTTGTAGGAAAAATCTAGCTACATAGGCATACCTAAAGCTGCATTTTTTTCACATGATTTCAACTTCAAGTAATCTACATTCCACTACTATTTCTATTTTATTTTATATTTTGAGATATCCTAGTCAAGTCCTTCCATTGCTTTGGAGTGTTGTATGATGCTTCAATAGACAGGTAGAATATGCAATGACCACTTTGGCAAGTTGGCATGTCTGTCACCTCAAATATTTATTATTCTTTATTCTGGAAACAGTCATAATCACCTCAACTAGCTGTTTTGAAATGTACAATTAAATACTGTCAGCCACTGTTGTCCAATATGCTAGAAAATTTTAGGAATTATTGTTCACATCAGAACAGGTGAACCACTCAGCAATTTTCTGGAGTTGATTAGTCATCGGGGTACTTAACAGGTGCTTATAAAGTCTCATTAAAAGTGGACTATCCATGAGACATTTGGACTAGAGTGAGAAGTCATACAAGGCCTGTAGCTACCATATTCTAACAGGAATTGAAATGGGTTACAATGCATGATCAGCAACATTCTATGCTACAGAGTCTAGTCACTTGGAGTTATAAGATTCAAAGAGGAGGGGAGGAGGGGAGAAGGAGGAGAACAGGAGGTGAAGGGATGGTCAAGATGGAGGAAAGACAGAGATGGAGAGCAAGAAATTCCTAGGAATCTACAAGGATGACCCCAGCTAAGACCCTAAGCCATAATGGAGAGGGTACTTGAACTGGCCTTGTTCTGTAGTTAATTGATGACTATCTTGAATGTCATCATAGAACCTACATCCAGCCACTAATAGAAGCAGATGCACAGATCCACATCTGAGCTCCCAAAGTCCAATGGAAGAGAGGGAGCGAATATGAGTCAAGAGGTCAAGACCATGACAGCGACACCCACTGAAACAGCTTACCTGAGCTAATGGGAGCCTATCAACTCCGGCCTGACAGTGAGGGAACTAGCCTAGGACCAAACAAGGCCCTCTGAATGTGGGTGACATTGTATGGCTGGAGCAGACTGTGAGGTCACTGGCAGTGAGACCAGGATTTATCCCTACTGCTTGTTCTGGTTTTTTGGAGCCCATTCTCTTTGGAACCTTGCTCAGCCAGATGAATGGGGAGGGCCTAGGTCCTGCCTCAAAGCAATGTGCTAGACTTTGTTGACTCCCCATGGGAAAGGAAGCCTTACCCTCTCCGAGGAGTAGATGGGGGTGGAATGCGGGAGAAGATGGAGGGAGCAGGACGAGGAGAGGGAGTGGGAACTGGATTTGGCATGTAAAATGAAAATAAGTTTTTAAAAAAGATGACATAAGAAAAAAAAAGACTCAAATCTGGGAATGTTCCCTAACTTTTGGGTGAGAACTCCCAATGTCATGTCTCATGGTCTTGCCACATATAGGGCAAAAAAAATTATGAATTAGGGATTCTCAAGGCCAAAGTTTTTAACAATAACTCCTCTTGCTCCTTAAATTTTTACTCTCAAATATGCAGTGACCTTTTAAAATTTCTTTCTATTGTTTGAGAGTTCTTATATGCATATAATGTGTTTTGAAAAACTCCCACCCCACTTCTCCCCTGCTCCCCCACAACGTTTCCCTTCCAGCTTTTTGTGCTTCTGTTTTTGAAGCCACTGTATCCACTTAGCTGCCTTTGTGGGTATGTGTGCAGGACCGTCTGTGAGAGCACGTGTAGCCTCTCCAGGGAACAGCCTTGAAGAAAATCAACACTTGCTCCACCAGCAATTGTCAATTGTCAATAGCTCCTCAGCAAGGGGTGGGACTTGATGAGCCCTCCCTCTTCCATACTGGGACTTCCACTGATTTGATCTTGTTTAGGTTGGGCATGTGGTCACAATTAGTGTGACCACAGGAATACAATAACCCTGTCATGCCCTGAAAAACACTATTTCACTGCAAGTGTCCACTACCTCTGGCTCTTCCAATCTTTCTACACCTTCCCTTACAATGATAATTAAGCTTTGCAGGGAGAGGACTTAATATAAATGCCCCATATAGGGCTGAGCACTCCACAATCCCTTATTCATTGCACGTTGAATACCTGTGATTCTCTGTATTGGTTGTCATCTACTGTCAAAAGATTTTTTTTTTATTGAAAATAGATTTTTTTCATATAATGTATCTGACCACAATTTCCCTTCCCTGAAACTCCTCCCAGACCCTACCCACTCACCCCAATCCACATCTTTTATTTTTCTCATTAGAAAACGAAACAAACAAACAAATGAGACGGGGGCAAACCAAGCAGGGGAAAAAGCACACAAAACACATACAGATGCAGAGACAGAGACACACTTGCCCACAGAGAAATACTGCGAAAAACCATGATATGTAAGCAGAAGCCTGGTGAGGTTTTTAAAAACACAAACAAAGCATTGTCAGACAGAATACCACTGAGTTCACCTTGTCTTGGCCATCTACTGCTGGGCATGGGGCCTGCCCTTGAGTGTGGTTTGTGTACCCAGTGAGACGTCACTGGAGGAAATTAATTTTTCCTATGTACTGTAAGGTGCAGTTTAGCTACTACACAATCCAAATGAAGTCAGAGAAGAAAGCCTTCTTAACTAAACAGAAATTCATATTTGTGCTTGCAGTGTTGAGTCCCTTGAGGGATCACAATGGTCATCCCTAGGCTTAAAGGTTTTCACTGGGAAATCTCCAGCACCCTTAGTTGTCAGGGGCAGTCGTTACTAGAGCCGAAGGCCCATCTTCCCTTCAGAGGGGGTGGCTTTTCCACTTTTGTGGTTTCCCTCTTTGCAGAGACAGTGCCCTGGATTTCCACAGTGGTAGCAAACATGTGACCCCTTAGAATCCTCTTTTTCTCTGCCTGAGTCCGCCCTACCAAAGAAAATACTGATTTTCAAGTTTATTGTGGATAAAACAGGATATAAATATTAAATATTGACTGTGACATACATAAAAACCTCAAGATTTTCATCAAGGAAATAAATGTTTATTTAGTGGGATCCCTTTCACATGGTGGGGGGAGAATGAGAGTGTTTTCTGGGGAGTCCATAGAAAGAAATGAACCCATGTGTGTGGTAAAATTCCAAAGGAGGTGTGGAATTTGGTCTGACTGATGACAGGACTTGGGCCAAGGCAGAGGAAATACGAGGAATCTTGTGATGTAGGGTCTCAGAAGTAAGTAATGGCAAGTTGTGAGGATGCTGAATAGATCTGATGGGTTTGGGCACAGCATAGAGAATAGAAGGAGCAGGTCTGCCAATTGGTTATAATTGTCACATTGGGGCACAGAGGTCTCCAAGGCTATGCCTGATAAACAATTTTTTTTGTCAGGAGGAATAGATAATGCCCCCAGGACAGAGCGAAGTGAGGTGTTCACACACTGAGGGTCAGGGGATGTCTAGATATTCTTAAAGTCCAGAGGTACTCTGGTAAAGCACCAGTTCTACCCAGCCTCAGCTGGTTAGGATACACATTGGCTGTGCAGGGGGACACCTCTACCTTCCAAGCTATGAGACTCACTTACTTCTCTCTGGGTCAGAACTATGTATAGTCATGACTTCTCCAGGATGGGAGCCCTGTCCTAAGACCTCTATACCCCATAAATGGACCAGTATCTCAAAGAAACAAGTCTACCTTGAACCTTTCTAGATACAGACAGTCTCAGATGTGTCTCACAAGTCAACAGACTCGAGGGTGGTAAATGAAACGGTCCTCTCTTCCGAAACTCTAGGTGAGTAATGATTGTATGAGATGTTCAGGATTCACATTTTAAAATCAAACAATGACAAGATTCCACTAGGCAATTGGCACTGGGTTCCACTCTACTGGTGGCCTTGTTTGAACACATATAAATGTTAAATTTATGAAAAAGCATATTTTATCATCAATAGTCTTTATCAGAATCTATCCCCTCATCTGAACATTTGAAACATATTAAAATTTCAAATTTCAAAACTA